ATAAACGTAGGCGGGGGGCGTCGCAGGGAAAAAAGGCATTCGAGTCCTCAGCCAAGTCCTGGAAGCGCCAGTGTGGCAGCAGAGCAGCGGTACGGCACGGTACCGGCAGAGGCAATGAGGCTCAGACAGCGGCTTTATCCTTGACCAAAAAAAGAGCAACGCGTGGCAGAGATGAACGGTTTTCTTATACCCTACACGCAAAGAGGGGGTATATCGATTCTTTCCAACATCTCAAGTGGAAACGTGGCCTGTGGCAGGGTATTAAAAGCTTCGGTCATACGCTGCTAGTTTTCGTTGCTGTCTCTTTTTGGGGTTCACTGAGTGTCAACATTGGGTGCCCCTCTCCCTCCGACTCTCCTTCTCTTTGCTCGTCGGGCGTCCAGCCAGCGTTGCCAGACAACGCACAGTCAGCGTAAAAAGTCGCGTAGCTCAACAAAAAAGGGAAGAAGAGGTGTAACGAAAGGTTGAGCGAGAGCGAGACGGGGGGTGAACGGTGGCAAAAATAAAGCAAAGAAATCATTTTTAAATGCGGCTTAAAATTATCTTTGATAAGCGTGCCGAAATGCGGCGCCCTCTTATATTTTTTGGTTCCCCCTCTCCAGCCTTCTTTCTGCTGAAGTTGAGTTATTTATAGGCGGCGCGGCGGAGCTTTTTGCTCTCTCGAGCTTGTGGGTCGCCTTCAGAGAGAGCGAGAGATCAAAGTAAAGCTTCAAGTGGGCTGGGACTAGAGCAGAGCAGAGGTTAAGCCGCTTAGGAACCCGAACCCGAACCCTCAAGGAGTGGAGTGCAAAGGTATGAGGAAATCTGATTTGATAGTTGAGAGATAAAGAGATAATGAAGCATAGGATAGAAATATTCAAATGCGGTTAGTAAAATATAGAAATTTTACAAAGAAAAGGCCATAAAGGAATCTTTAATTTCATCCTCCGAATGTCTCATTAGTTGGTCACTGAATATCGCCTATAGCCAGTCTCTAAGGCGAAAAACTCTCCACCAAACCTTAAACAATTGGGCTCATTCAATAGTCCTTCAATGCCTGCACCACTTCAGGCATCACAAGGTTAAAGCTCTTGACAAGTTCCACTTGTGTTACTTTTCCATTGATTTTGCAGTCTCTAGTACACCGCACTAACAAATCGAAGAACATCGAGGTAGAAGCAACCAATCAAAGAGAACAAAGAGGGAGTGGCGCTCGAGCTGGAGGACACAAAAACGAAAATAACAAGAATCAAAAGTTCCAGGATCCACTTGGAACTTGATTTGTTGTGCAGCGCACAGCAGACGCTCGACATGAACGAAATTATCCATCGTCTCACCTGAAAAACAACAGATAAAGACCAAATGAAGAGACAAGTAGAAAAAAAGTTGTTCAAAGAATTTTTGCAGCTTCTATTACACAGCTGCTACATGCTATACTACCTTTTTTCTCTCAATTTTCCCATTTCGGACAGTGGGGGGGACACCTTTCTTTATTGGAGAAGTTTTTTTTTTTTGTTGACTGTGTCCTTGTCTCTGTCAAAGTGTTGACCCATGTCGACGCCGCCATAGAAGGGTCGCCCTATCTCTCTCTCTCTGTTAGCTGTCCCCAGTGTGCCTTCATTTTGGGGGTAAAAAACTTTTATAATAGATTTCAAATTTCTGCCGCCTTGTGTGCCGTGTGCCCGGCTGTACGTCCCTCCATAATTCTCTGGAGTAATCAAGCAAATTAGTAAGTTTCTCGAGAGAAACGAAGCTGAATCCTGGCGAAATCCCAGTACCAAATTCCGACACTCCTTCGTGGCTCCCTCGACAATTTTGTGGTCGGCAAATTGTTGACAGCTGCTGCCGCCAGCTCCTTCTTCTGTTCTCCTGCTGTTGCTCCGACAAATGAAGATAAATGCCAGGATGGCGAGGCAGAAGAAGGTGGTGGCACGAAGTGGGAAAGTTTTCCTTTAAAATTTAAAGCGAAATCTTCAATTTTTGGCTGGATTGCATTTTCCTTTTATCCTTTTAAGTCGATAGCCGGCGAAGTAGGTAGGACTTCTCTCTCAAGGGTCACTGCATGAAATCGAATTTACTTTACGAAACTTCAAGTATATACTCCTCTTTTTAGATACAATCACAGATAAAAGATAGTTTCCATGGATCAATAGATGTATCTATGATGAGTAGGTATTCCTATAGTCCAAAGTATAACCGTTGTTCCTTATTTTTCTTTTGAACATTGCATACTTTTTGTTGATGAAGATGAATTGCAGTTTGAACTTTGATACTAGCACAAAAGTTCGGTTCGTTTTCCTCTTTTCCGAATTTTGTTGGCTTGTGTGTGGAAAAGTTTTGTTTTTCGGGTAAAAAAGTTTTGTATGAAATTGTCGCAATTGCATGTTTTATTGGATCCTAAGCGGGAACTTGGCTCATATCAGACGTATTGGGGTTGGGTGGTGCACAAGAAATGCAATAATTGTGTCAAAGGATCGTTGCAATTACAGTGTTTCCCTTGGCTACCCCCCCCTCCCCAGTGACTTTCGAACTTTAACTGAATTAAAGTCAAGACAAAATAGCCAGAAAAGGGTTAGCAGAGGAAGAGAGGATGTGGGAAGAAAGAGCTGTTGAAAAGTTTGGCGCGTCTGGCAAACAAAGAAGCAAAGGAAAAGACAAAGTTCAAATTACAAAATGCAACAAAGAAGACGCCAAAGGGATGAGAGGCGGGGAGGAAAGACAAGAATTTGCTAAATAAAAGTGAAACTTGCAAGAAATTAAAAGACAAACAAGTGAAGAAGCTTTAGGTGGCATACCGACTGGAGGTACCTCTTAAAAGTGTGACTAAAAACATACTTATTCTTATAATTATAATCCATTGAAAATGGAGTCTTTTCTGCTCATTGTTTATTGTCTCCTGCCTATTGCATACATCCATGCGAAAACCATATGCCCTAGAGTTCCACCAGCACAGGGTATAAAGCAACAGCCGCCGCCGCCGCCGCCTTGGAAGCAGAGCGATGCAGAGGGAGAGCGAGAGAGACGAGTGTGGGAGAGAGCTTGGAACGAAGAGCAGTGCATGTGCGTGCGTGTGCGTTGGCAGAGCAGCAGCCGCAACGATGCAATTAAAGCATTAGGTCCGTGACAGAGACTTCAAACACAAACCCAAACTAAAGCTTAATTATGTGTAATGGGATGTGCCATGATTTACTTTCTATCCTCTATCCTCAAAATTGACTTTAAAGTACAAAAATAAAGAAGAAAAAACCTTAAAACAACTTCGATTTCGACTTGAGTGAACTTTTCTTGTTTGGATTGGCGATTTTCTGGCTGAATAATCCTCAAATAGCATTAACCTAATGGCCATTTGCTTCTGTAAATAAACGATTTTAGCTTTCGTCAGAGCCAAGGCCAAATTGGGTCAACTAAAACGCGATGAGCAAACCCACCTGGACAAGGACCCACTACCCCACCCCACCTCATGATTAAATGTTGGCAGGGTCTCTATATGTGGGGGGTGCAGTATGCCTGTGTGAGTGAAATGAATTAGCTAAGAAGGATTGGATAACAGGGCGTGTTTCAAAAGGCACCACCTTCGGATTAGACAAATGGATAATGGAAACGTTTGCTTTTTTCAGTCGTAATTAGAAATTTAGGTTGACGTGAAAAAATCGAATGGGAGGTAAAAAGTCATTTGCATACAAAAGTGGCTTAGAAATGGTTTAAAGAGGAGATAGATAGTAAGTGGGGGGATTAATAGGTTTTTATTGTAAAGAAAAGTTCATCAGTAAATTTTATATACGTATTTCTATACCACACCTAACGTTCTTGGGTTTTTTTTTGTTTTGCATAATAATCCGCTATTTTTCCAAAGTTTTGACTTTTTAGCCGCGCGAGAGCCACCGATCATCCCACCCGCTTGTGTCTCTTTTTCTCTGCTTTGACAATCGGCGCTGCTTCATTGCATTTACCCTATGTACATACCTCTCTCTCTTTTTCGCACAGCTTAATCAGAGGCCTTCGAAGCAGAGGCCGCTGCCGTTGCTCTGCCTAGAATTTGTTTCCCTCTCTTCTTTGATTTGGCTGCGCTGCCTTCTTTAAATAGATAAGCTTAAGCTGACGCTAGCAGAGCACCGGTCTCTCTTCTTTGCTTTGACTAAGCTAAACCTTGCTCATTTAGATCCTCTCCCGCTGCCTTCTTACAGAAGCTTTCGATGCAGTCGGCAGAGCTGCGGGTTCCAGCTTTTGAGCTTCGATCGACTGCAGCGAAGTCACTGACTCTCCCTGTTCCTCTCGCTGCCCTAACTCTTTTGCTTTTTTCTATTACATGCGCCTCAGCATTACCTGACTTTCGCTGCTGGAAGGCCTGGAATCCACTGGAAGTTCCTTTGCCCTTGACTTTATCAAGCCAAATGTCGTTGCTCGTCCATTTGTCCAGCGACGATTGCCAGTAAAAGAAGTGGAAGAACCGTTTAGTTGAAGGCGCTGCGCGTGCGTGTACCCCCGATTATATATTCAATATATAGTTCCTTTTTTAATTAGTCACGTTGAGTTTCGAGTGTCGCAGTGTTAAATGGAAATCCTCTTTTAGGCGATTGCAATTCTTAATTATTTAAAAAAAAAACCCGAATTCGATTGTCCGTGTGCGTCAAAAGTATTGATTGAGCGTGGTTATTTGCCGTTATATCCTACTAACTATTATATATATATACTTGTTGTTGTCCTTCCGAGTCGACAGTGTACAATTTTTGAGATCATGTTCAGCAGCCGCGCTTCGTTTCTGGCCAATCGCCGTATGATATTTGATTTTTCGGAAAAGAGTGCCAATGATCTCTATTTGGAGTAAGTATGTGTGTGTGAGACACAACTGTAAACGGTGACTCATCAAGGAAGAACCAACTAATAATATAGAATAGAAGACATTTGTTTTACTTTTTATTAAGTTATATTCCCAACAAATATTCAAATATTAAGTAACTAACCCAAAAAAAAACATTTTACTAACGACAATTCTCCCTCTTATTCTGTCTTCCCTTTCGCAGTGCATTTGGTATGAGCGATAAGAGTAGCAGTGCTACGAATAGCCTGCCCAACAGTCCCATTCACAGCAACAACAATAATCCATCTCTGCTCAACAACAACAATAACGGCGTGAACGGCAACAACAATCAGAGCCTGGGTGGCAGCAACAATTCGCTGGTCGGCGGCATCGGCAACAACGGTATTATGTCTGCGGCAGGGCTCGTGAACAACAACAATAATCCGTGCAGTGCCAATCGGAATGTCGTCGTGAGCATGGACGATGATTCGTGCTTCCGCCTGGATGCCGATGCCACGGTCACCTACAGCGACAAGGAGCCCGATCCGGATAACATCAAGATGTTTGTGGGCCAAATACCCAAGTCCATGGACGAGTCGCAGTTGCGTGAAATGTTCGAGGAGTACGGACCGGTGCATTCGATCAATGTGCTGCGCGACAAGGCCACTGGCATTAGCAAGGGTAAGTCTTAGTCGGCAAGGGAAATTGGAATACTCTCTCAAGAAGAATAGTGCAAATAGAAATGTGTAAATGTTGTTGTATTTGCATAGAACCTACCAGTATTACTGTACTTAAATCGGTCGCATCACGACAGCCCTGCACAAAGCTGGAGTTTGTGGAGAGGGGGAAACGGAGCTCTCGCTCTCTCCCTCTCTTGCTTCGGGCGGCCCATCACTCTTCTTCGTTCTCTCTTTTGTTTAGCTTGCTTGCATGCGTGTGCGTGTCTGCTGTGCTGCGTCTGATAAATTACATTCGAATTTGTTGCGGTAAATACCCGAAAGCTCTCACTAAAGCTTCTCCCTTTGCATGTAAATGAGAGAGCTGCAGAGACACCGAGGCACACAACACACAAAATTAATATGAGATATGCTTTGCCCAGACACTCACTCCCACACACGCACACCCACACACTTACCCATTTGTCTCTCTTTCCTCTGTCTAGTTTCTCCCTTTTGCGCCCCGCTTCCTTTTAATTGCATTCCCTTGCATTTACCATTTCATTTCATTTCATCAGCAAATTGCTTTTTGTTCCGCTATTTGTGTTTGACTCGAAATTTCAATAGCCTTGAGCTTGAGCCTTGTGAAGCTTAACTAAGGGAGGGGGGTGCAGTGCCAAAAATACATAGTATGAGAAAAGAGAGATCTTTTTAATTAAATAATACACATCATGGTATTAAATTTACACACTCTTACTTAAGCAATTGAAAAATTGCCCTTCGCTTTGATATTTATTTAATAATTGCTGTCATAGAAATAATATTTAATAGTATTAAAAGGAGTTTAACGAATAAAGTTTTAGGTAGAAGTGCGTAAATATAGAATTTCCAAGTTAAAAAAGGGAATAAATTAAAAACACAAGAAAAAGTCTTTTTGATGTTCTGTCATTCAGACCATCCTTCATCTCCATCTCCCATTCTCAATAAAAGCTTTGCATCCAGAGATCAGACCCTCTCTTCTTTATCTCTATCTCCCCCTTCCCCCTCTCTCTATCTCTATTGCCGATTTGAATTCCCTTTTCATTATTCCAATATATTCATTGTTCAGTTCCGTTCTATTCATTTCTTTGCTTGTCCTGTCTCTCATCTATTCTATTTTTATTTTTGTGCTGTCTGAAAGCCTCTCAACTGCAGTCAAGTTTATTTTTATTGATGTGCTGCTCTTTTCTCTTCGTCTCCCTCCCATTCATAACGGCATTTTCCACTTCTAATCTTTTCCATTTCCAATTGCCATTCTACTCTCGACCCATCGTCTCGCATTCATTGTCCATGGATATACATATTTCCACAAAAACATTCATTCATTCGGTTTTGTGTATTTTCTGTCATTGTTATTCTATATCCAACTGTCTATTTAGCTTTTCTATCCTATCCCCCCATCCACCATCCTCCTCCGACTGCAGCTGACAGGTTCATCCTTATTTTTGTAAAAGTGGGCGTGTGTGTGCTCTGCTGTTGTGCAGATCTGGACAGTGGCCAGTTTTGTGTCCCAAAAATGGAGGCGTGCCTGCCCTGCCCTGCCCTGCCGCCTGGTCGGAAAAAGAGAGGAGCAGCGGCGGCGGCGGCAGCAAAACAGTTTTAGAAGCACTTAAGTGGCGCGTTGTGCTGATGATTTATGACAAGCGGAAAGTACAGTGCGACCTCTCCTGGCTGGAACCATCTAATCTGCTGCCCTGCCACTGCTGCTTGTCTGCTGGGAAAGTGCCACTGTAATCAAAGCTTATTCCGCATCCATGGTGTCCCCTTCCATTCATTCTCTTGGACTAGCTTAAGTGCTCACGAACCATGCGAGCATTTTTGTTGTTGTTGGCAAGTAGCTGCCCGCCTTGGAAGACTCTTCTGGCAGTCACAAACACAGAATCGACACAAATTGCATTTCAAAGTTATTATTTATGTCAGCGCAAAAGCGTAGAAAAGTAGGCGTCGTTTTTGTGCCCACCACGCCCACACAGTGACCTACAAAAGGGGGAAAAAGAAGCGAAAATAAAAACCAAACGGAATATTCCTTCGTTATTCTCTTGGTAAAACATCCGTTGGGGAGGTCTAATATCTGGGGATATCAGACTTTATTACATTTTTACTGATATAATTTAAGTGATTTAAATCAATATGTTTGGTAATTAATTCGATCGATATATGTTTCGATTTGTGTTCTGTTCTGATATAACAATCGTTGACATACATTTTAATGTTTATAAAAAGATCGAAATATCATCTTTTGATAGAAATTCACAAATTTAAGTAATTTTATATTTTCCAATTTTACAATAATTTTTTTTATCGAGTTAAAATTGGCTGCTGGATAATATTGATAAGTACATTGACTATCTGTAGTTTTAAAGCTTGATTTTCTACGTTATATTTATACAAAAATTTATTTCTTATCCAACAAAATTTAAAAATATATAGTTTAAAAAAATTTTAAACCAATAGAATTTAAAGTAACAAAATACAAATGTTTATAATAAATTTTCGTATATTCTTTTAAAAACGATTTTAATTCCGTTTATATTTCAAAAATGTAAAAAAGTGTACAAGTTTTTTTTTCTTACCTATGTATTTATATTTCTAATTAATTTTAGATCCCATAGGGTATCCCACTAGTTGATCATTGTGTGCATCGATATGCTTACAGCGCTTTCGCCGTTTCCTCTTTATTTTTTTTTTTTATTTTTTTATCTTTTCTTTTGCCTTTTGCGCTTTTTGTGTATGAATTTCCTCCTACTGCATGATGCATTTTGTTCCCGGTTTTTTTTGTCTGTTTAAACTACCAAAACTTCCTGCTAACAACATTTCCATTTAGATGGCAAAATGTAACCCAGTTTTGCGAGTTAAAAAGCTAAAAAGAAGCAGCCGCCTCGGCCATACATATCCTTCGACTTGGTCGAAATGTCTGTCTGTTGCTTAGAGTTTTTAGTCCTTTGCTTTCTTCTACCCTTTCTTTCTCTCTCTTGCTGGCCTTCTCTTAACCAAACGAAATGCAAAATGACACTTTTAAGTGCGATGGTTGACCTCTGAACCAGAAAGTCGTAAATAACAAAAAATAAAGTTGAAAAAAAGTACCAACCGAAAATTTCCCTTTTCGTTTCGTTTCGGGCAAAAGTATTTCTGGGCTAATGCTTTCTGCTGCTGGTGTGCGGCCCCAAAACAAAATTGTTTTCTCTCTTTTTTGGCACTAAATTTCGTTAGCGGCCGTTTGCCCCCTGCCCCTGTCCCTGTCCCCACGAAAAATACTGATAGTATCCCGTACCTATTGGCGGTTCTGGTTCTGGTTCTAGCCCCTGGATTCTCTATGTTGTTGCTGTGGGTGTTGCGGCTTTTATGGTCTCTGTGTTCCTGTGTTGCTGCTGCTCCTCTGTGGCCTGTAGATAAAGGTGAGAAGTGGTGCAAAGCAGGGAGGGGGAGAGAGAGGGTCTAGGGGGCACTAGAGCGGGACAAGGTTAAGCGCTTGGGTCATAATTTATTAGCGCTTGCGGTCGGCGATAGTCAGAGGGATGACGATGATGATGAGTGCAGGGAGGGGCGGTGCAAAGGGCACTACCAAAGGGAGGTGTGGCAGGAGGTACAGAAGGGTGGGGTGGCAGGAGGTACAAGGGTGGGGTGGCAGGAGGTAGAAGGTAGAAGGGTGGGGTGGTAGGGAAGCATCAACCGTGGCGAAAAGGCTCCTTTCTTGCGGTTTCCATTTCAGATTTGTTCAGGTGAAAAAGGCTACAGCCTGGCGCTGGGTGTAACATTTAATTCGATATTGAGTGAGTGAAAGAGACCGAAAAATAATGTGGAAAAAGAGGGGAATAGCTTTAAAAGCCAGTTCTATCCCCTCCCCTCAAAAGCTGTAAACTGTTTGTGGCCTTTGGTTTTGTGTTTGTGTCAAAAAGGTCCTGTGTCAAGTTTTCTGCGGTTTTTGCGGCCAACGCAACGAAGCCAAACTCGGTGGGGTTGGGGGGGAAAATTAAGATTTTCCTAGAGCCATTTCAAATGGCTTGAAAATTAAGCTCCGAGTGTAGGGACACGCATGTAACACGTGGTATGGGGGGGTGGGATTTGAAGGAGTGAAAAGAATAGTGTGATTCTTAAGTTTTAAAGAATTCAAAGGGAAACCAAAGGTGGAATGGTAGGAAAGGGTGGAGCGGCACGAGTCTGACTGAGATCGAGATACGCGACCTGGAAACTTCAGAGAACCCTTTTCCTATAGAAATATAGAATTGTTTTCGACATCTTCTATGGCGCTGTGTAAACATCGAATAACTTTGAAAAAAAACTACCGATTTTCAAATATGGTCCTTTAGAAATTATTCGAACTAATTTTTGAACAGAATTTGATTGATGAATGAATGAATGAAGTGAATAAAGTGGCTGCCGTTATCGAATACCTTAAAATATTCACCTTTTGCTGCGTTTTCCAACACTTTCGAGCATCTCGGGCGGGGTATGACGATGATTTCGGGCTTGGGCTAGTCAATGGTAGCCTCAGCTTGCGGTCGAAAACTGTGCTTTTCAAATAACCCCACAAAAGTAACTCCGGAGGCATCAAATCTGGAGATCTGATTGTTTTTTTTTTCCAAATAAATTATTTATTTATTTTATTCTTACGTTTTTGTTGTTAATCTTTAAAATATATATAAATTTTATATCCAATAAAGATGTTTAAGCACTTTCGATTAGTTCCCCCGATAAGCCCTCAGTATATTTATCATTTTGTGCCCTTAAGCACCCCTCATACCATATTCAATTGGGAAAATCCGGAATCCGCAAACCCCGGACCCCGGACCCCGAACACGAGCATATGTCACAGTTCCGCATTAACAGGGCCACACCCACTGAACCGAAGGCCTTCTCAGGCGACGCCCCGCCCCCCTCTAGATTTTTTGTTAGCCAGTATTCCATTCCCAGTCTTGTGATTTATGACCTCCGACATATAAAAAACTAACTCGCTGACCAAACCAGAAAAGTTGAGAACTGCTGGGG